GTAAGAATCATTGTTGCTTTTAAGAAGTATTATTGTCGCTTTTAGCTATAAGATGTAATTGATAAAAATGAAGCATACAAGTTTGATATTTACAAATTCAATCAACTAATAACAATGTAACAGTGTAATGTTATATATAACAATATTCTTACAAACGTTATCAGCAATTGCTTCAAGCATATTAGCTTACAAGATATTGCACTTACAAACCAAGAAGTCAAATTTGTGGAAGTAAGCATCAATGATGAACTATCTTTAACTAGAAAGCAATTAGATATTTGCAATCCAATATCAATTGAAACTCTTTTGAATCTTATTAAAGAAGAAATTTTCTATCAATATTTTTTAAATGAAGAAATTGTTGAACTTGTGGTAGGCAATAAAAATGATGTTGATGAGGTTGATGAGTTGGAGAAAGCAAAAAAAGAAATGATAAACAGAGAAAAATTGGAAGTCTCTTCGAAATTCATTAAAATCCTTAATCTTTCAATTTTCTTGCATATTATCATTCATAATATTGCTTGTTAAATCCAAAATAAGCTATGATGCCAAAAAAAAGCATTAGACATTGTTTAATTCTTGGTTCTAGTATTTGCTATAATTATATCATTGTATAAATAGTATTCTTAGCTTTTGTTATTTTTCTTTATTTTTTTGTATACATAAATAAATTGATTTTACTCATGAAATACATCGAATATTGAAGAAAAGATAATATTGATTTATGCTATAAGAACACAATAGATGGAATTCATTTTGTATTGAATATTAGAGGATATTGATTTATAAGAAATTGGATGATAAAGGATCAATTGTATATATGTATAGGTAATATTTTTTTTAATTAATTCTTAAAATAAAATATTATTACACTACTAAATTGTTAAATTATGCTTATTAGTATTACCAAAATCATATCCATAACTTATAGGTTATTTTATTATTATTATTATTATTATATAGCTATTTTTTGATATTAATTATTATACTATTATTTATTTTATTTCAACTTAATATTTAAATTTACTTTAATATAAATAATTTAGATCTAGATGTATTATAACAAATAAAAAACTATTTTATCTTAAGATGCAAAGTTAATGTAAACATTACTGATATGTGCTTTCATAAAATATATAAAACGTGCTATAGATATTATTTTTAATACAAAATTATACAAACACAATACAAAGGCTTGACTAAAATTTCTTTTAATTTAATAAAATAATAATAAAATAATATATATATATATATATATATATATATATATAGAATGATAATGTATGTTATTTATTCTACCACAAAGTATTCTATGAGGAGCATATTATGTATAGTTTTTTTTACAAGATTTAATATACTATTATCTTTTCATATTTAACTAATTAAAAAATCTAAAACAATCTATTTGATTACATTTCTTATAAATAAATATAAATTAGATGAAATTTAATATAAAGCTATTTTTTGACATAAATATTATGAATATTTTCCAAAAATAGTTATAAGATATAAAAAAAAAATTAATATATTTTTATGGATTGGCCTCATTTGATATATAAGTTATTTTGTGTTTTTTATATAATTAATTATAAATAAATATCTAAATATTCTTTAATAGGCAAAAAATGACTATATTGGTAGTTTGTAGAATAGCAAAAAAGTAATGTATTTTTTAGATAAGCATACAATAGGGCAAAAAAAAAATGGTTGATTTTTATTTATTTATTAGAGATTTTTGGTTTAATTTTATGTACTATTGTATATTCTTTAGTCTTTAAATACCAAAAGAATTCAATTAATGTATTATATTATATATGCTCTTTAAATTTAAGATATATTTGTGAAGCTTTGTTACCATAAGATTGCAAAATTGACTACTTCTAATAAATTTAATAATAAATAATCTACTTGAAAAATTATGTAGAAGGTGATTTTTTTGATTTTCATGGCTAAAATTGATATTATAGTAAAACAAAGTCTTTTAAGGTGAAAATACTAAAATTATAAACTTTCTCCTAAGCTCAAAAAAATCTTATCAAGTATAAACCATTATTATATCACAATCCTACCTAACTTAAAAAATGTAGTTACTCTTTGCATACCAAGATGATTAAGTTATTAGAATTATATAAGTTTTTAATTAAGTCATGCACAAATGTCATTTGCAACAATAATTAGGCTAAAAAACTAATATTTTGTATAGAATAGTTAAATGAGTATATAATAAAATCAAATAAAATAGAAAATATTATATTTACTAATAAAATAGAAAATAAACTCTACATTCTCTATTACCTTAATGTTTTTTAAATGTAAGAACTTTCAAACACGTAATGATAAAATCTTGTGAAATAAGAATTCAATATGTCTAAGCAAAGGATGTAGTTTATATAAAAAATTAAATTAAATTAAAAATTAAAAAATACTACAAAATGATTAATAATAGAATATTTTTATAGTCTATTTTCAATTTAATTATCAACATGTAGTTTGTAAAAGAAATAAATGTATAAATAATAATTATTAAATTGACACCTTTGTAATAATGTTGTAGATGGGATATTTTAACATTTAACTTTAAATCATTAACAAATTACATGAGATAATATTAAATTTATAAATAATTAAATAGTATTATAAGAATACATAGGTTTTTTTAGAAATAATTGAAGTTATATATAGAGCCAATACTAATCTACATGGCTTTAATTTTGTTTAAAAATTTAGACTATATTCATAATATTTGACTTCAAGTCACATTTTTATATTCTTATTTAATGCTAGATTACATCATCAAAAATTGTAAACCACTTGAAGCTTGAAAAAGTTAAATAAAATAAAATAAATTCTATATTAAAATAATAGTTACAAAAATCATATCATATATTTTAGAAACTAATTTAACAATAAGTGAATAAGTATAAATTTCTTTAATTTAAATCTTTGGACTTGATCCTAAAATAAAAAAATTAAACTATTAATCAATTAGATTCTAACAATAACATTAAAGTTAATATGCTTACTAAGTTAATTATTAATTGACATGTAGGTACAATAGGTCAAACACACAATAAATAAATAAATGGCATAGGCTGAGGCGATGGTTTTCAGAGACATGCGTGTTGCAAATATAGTCCAAACACTAAATTTTGACCGTAAAATGAAAGAAAATGCTCAATCAAATGATCAACTTTACTTTCTTGTTGTGACTCTACTATAATACTGATGTCTCAGATTAGAAAATCAAGAATCGAGTCAGCCTAAACCTTACCAATCTTTCTCGATAAACACTTGTTTAGCACACGCAAGTTCAGCCGAAGCTCTTTCTCTCTTTCTCAGAGAAGTTGGGTTGGAGGATACAGAAGCACGACGAGCCAGCCGTGCAAGAGTTCTGTTCAGTTGTTGGTGTCAAGCGACATGTTTTAAAAGTGTGGATGCATAACAACAAGAATACACTGGGGAAAAAAGTAGAACGAGTAGAATGATCAGTGTATTCTTTCCTTACCAAATTCATTTTATTTATTGGCTTCTTCACAGCGGCTGCAGAGATTACATGCCATGGCAACGCCGGTTTGTCGTGATACCAAGCTCGCAGCGTCGATGTCGGGGTGGATCGGGGTGGAGGGGAGAGTAATCCATGGCAGTAAACGGCGCATTGCAACCGTGTGTGTTGCGGCGCACACATGGAGTGCGAGAGCTTCACAGGGCCGGGAAGAACTAGGGCAGTGTGAAGTTGCGACGGCAGGGGAACCAGCGGCGAAAAAAGCGGAGGGGAACCAGAAGAGCCCCCAGAAGTATCGCGCTGAAAATTGCGCTTCACGCGGCTTGTGCCCCAAAAGCAGCTAATAAAGGATTTTGGTGACAAGTTATCAAGGGCATATTTGCAATTATGACAAAACTCAGGGGTACATTTGCAATTACCAAGAATTCAACGGTATATTCGTTATTTCCGCATATTTCAGGGTTATATATGATATTTTCACATATTTCAAGGATATATTTGATATTTTCCATATTTTTCATAACATCATTTTAAAGATTGGATTTTAAATTTATATATATATATATATATATGTGTGTGTGTGTGTGTGTGTGAGTGTGTGTGCGTGTACTCATGTTTATTAAAACGGATTCATATATTTTTTATTTCTAATTTTTTCAAAGTGTCTCACATTAAATATAATCAATATAACAAGAATGAGTATATATATATATGTTATAAAATTTATTTTGGTACATGTAAGAATCAGAATAAATGAATAAACAAGTAAAGAATACATACATATATTTTTATAACAACTTACTACAAACTTACTAAACTCAAAATCCCAAATTAATGGTTTCTTTTTTCTTTTTCTTTATATTTTAATTTTCTTTGTACTCTAAACATACATACATTTCAAGAGCAATCAAATGCTACCTACAAAAAACTTACAAAATTTTCCAATACATCTTCAAGCTTCAAATTTTTAAGAGCGATTATGAATGCTTAATGTACGTAGGTAAACAGAAAGCATGAAGTATATGCTCTACAAACAATGAATTCCTAAACCAAATTGTATTATATTAAATACAATACAGGACAAGAGAGCCCCACTTAACTACTAATTAAGGAGGCTTGATCCATGAATCCAAAGAGTAGGATTAGCCAAGCCCGTCACCTAATCCACCCACCACCCAACCCAAAACACACGTGGGCCAAATCCATAAGTGATGACATCACAGAATGCTGACGTGGACGAGAGAGAGTGAACGCCCCGTCAGCTTCCAAGATGCTTCCGCGTCCATGGAAGACTCCTTCATACCTCCTTCCTATTCACACCGCCCTCCCTCCCCATTTGCGACCCACCTGAGAGACCACACCAAGAGTAACGTCCCATATTCACCGGCGCCGGTAAAATAAAGGGGCACCCTATCACCGCGTGCAGTGTGGCGGAAAACCCCATCGCGAAGACAGAGGTCCACCACCGTCGTCTTCTCCGTCGACCCTAGTTATCTTCTCCTGTTCACCAGCGTTTGTACGTTGCTCTGCTGATGCATGATCTTCCCCTGCCCTTCAACGTATGTTTGGCCTGGCGTAGCTGGTTGCCCGTCTCGGTTCTCTCCGGATCTCATTCCGCCGCGTGCACGACGTAGAATTGTAGCGCTGAACTCGAACTGCTAGTTGAGCCAAAAAATTCGTGTCGAAAGATGAGGCGCGGTGGCGGATCGAGCCTCCGAAATGCGCCTTCCTCCTCCGCAGTCGGCGACAAAGGGCGATAGCGCGAGAGCTTTTGTAGCAGAGGACTGCCCGTTTTTGTGACTATTCTGAGCTGCTCTTGACGTTGAAAAACGTAAGTGAGCGCTGGACAATGTTTAGCTTATGTCCATTTCGGTAGGAGCTTGCATCTGGAGTCGGAATGAGTTTTGTCCGAGTGCGAAGCGCTTCTTTTTTCCCGTGCTTTTTGTGCTCAGGCCATGGGGTTCCCTTGTTCTAGGGATGCGGCATTGGTGTGCATCAATGTCGTTCTACGAGTTGCAATGTGAGATTCACCTCCACCCCTTGGCCAAGTCGTGTGTTGTTGGCAGGCATGATCTCGGCATCCCTTCCTAAGCTTCTCTAGATTCGACTTGGTGATGATATTACCGCCCTGAGTCTACGGTGCACTTCTCGTCCTGTTTTTGCATGTCGTGTCCTGTTCTTGACTCATCTATCTCACCACTTTATCTCTTCTCTCTAGAATTTTCACATCCTTGTTCTTTAGTTCTCTCTGCACCCGGCTATACAGCTCTGATATCTTCGACGGGGCTTGGCGGTATTTCTACGAGTGACAACTGCTGTGGTCTTTGCAGGTAGCTGTTGACTATAGCTTTGCTGTTCTGCTTACTCAGTTATTTCTCGTAGCCTTTACTTTTTGTTTTTTAGATTTTAAATTATTTTTTCAATATTTAAAAAAATGTTAGATGACTAGCCAGGGTACTTCCTGCTCATCGATTCGCACGAAAGACTATCAATAATTATTGGGGAAGTTGCTGTTAAAGAACAGACTTCAGGGTGCACAGCGTTTTCTCGGGATCGTTAGAGACAAGTTGGTGGCTGCAGGAACGAGTACGATCACGAACTTGAACGAACATATCTAGTTACATGTGCGGTTCTTATGGGTCCTAAGCAATGTGTTGCTCGCGAGAGTCTTCTGGAGAAGTCCGACGAAGACAATTTGGGGAAGGTTACACCCCGTCCACGGTTATGGAACAGGAAGTGCACTGCGGTGGGCTCCATGTGCGGGATGGTGAGATCGACGGTGCTGGAGCGACGTTTGCTCGTGATGGTCATTCTCATGTGCTGCGTCGGATTCATCTTTCTATCGACATCCAGAGATAATTTGAAGCCCGAGCCATGGCACTCGGACAAAATGTGGCATTATCCTGTTGCGTTTCCGCGGTGCTCTATAGATGCCTGCTTTAATTTTTCGCGTTGTGAGCACAGTGATGAAATTCTTGTGTACACCTACAATGACCCAGAGCCAAAGCAGAACCCGACATATTTTGAACTCCTGCCCTCGTCAAAATGGCACACTAACGATCCTCAAGAAGCCTGTCTCTTCTTTTACTTCTCCGATTCTAAGGCTAATAAAGCAGCTTGGAAGAAACCGGATCCCAGGAACTTGCCTCACTGGAACGGTGGGCTTAACCATGTGTTCGTCACTTTTGCAGATCGATGGGCGCAGACCAATCCGCCGCCTGGGTCAATTGGGATGGCATCGATTCTTAGCACGGAGCTCCATGACACAACCTACAGACCGGGTTTTGACATTGCTATCCCTCTCCCCCGCAGGAACGTCAATGTGATTACAGGCCTTTCTGAGTTGAAGCCCTTTGAGAGGAAGTACTTCTTGACTTTTAAAGGGACCAGGTATTTGTCGCGCGAGGGGAAGTTTCGTAGCGGATCTGAATTTCGAGGCATGCATGATGGAAAGGATGTTGTGGTTGTCACAACATGCGATCACGGGACAAACAATAAGCTCCGATTGTGGCAACCATGGCGCGGCGCAGGATGTGCAGAAGACCAAACAGTGTTTGACAGCTACGATTTTATGGAGCTTCTGAACACAACGTTTGGTCTTGCTCCCGCGGGTCGATCACCTGCTTCCTACCGAATGCTGGAGGTGCTAAGTGCCGGCGCGATCCCTGTGCTGGTCGCAGACAATTATGTCAAACCTTTTGAGACTTTAATTAAGTGGCAGCGCTGCCTCTTGCAATTTCCGACAAGCGAGATCCATCGCATTGTTCCAACCTTGCGTGCTTTGTCTAAGAAAGAAGTGGAGATGCGGCAACGATATTGTCAACAGATATTTCAAAGCGTACTAAAAGACGACAGTACACTGATGCAGTCCGTCATGAGATCTCTCAGAGAAAGGTTTATGGGAATGTTGCCAAACTTACCCTTGACACACGATGAATAGGGTCCCACGGGGAGTAACAGGAAGTTATGATCAACTCTATGCAGTTGGGGGTTCTTTCACTGGTTGCAGACTTGTTAACGTTGGGCTACACCTTGCCCTTTCTCTTTTGAAGAGTGTTACCCCATTTTTACCCTGCATTAGAAGAAATCTGCCATTACTTTTCAGACCCTCCCAAGGCACAATTAGTGGAGAATGATGCAGACACGACAGCGTTTCAAATCTAATAGTTCATGAGCTAGAGTTCATAGAGGAAGTTGTAGAAGCTCAACAAGAGTTTCCGGTGTTGCCAGTGAAGTTCCTTGAGCGGATTTCTATGAAAATCACTCTCAATCGTAGCATTTAGACAACTCTTTATTTCATCGGAGATATTTTGCATGCACTGTAACGTTTGGTTAGGTTGAGGAATGGATGAGTCTATCTTGTGGAATGGATGTCTTTTTCTTTTCAATTTCCTACAGCAACTAGTGTACACACACCATGAAACTGATCGCATCCAGCTTTTTGGACGCAGCTGCGGCTATCCTGGGTAAAACTTCGTTTTCACCAGAGAACAGTGGGTTTCAGGGTGCTTTTTCTCTGACAGGCTTGTGCTAAGGCTGGCCACAGGCATGTGAGCCTGGCCTGTGCACCACCGTCGCCAAGGTTGGGTACACCGTCACTCGAAAGGTGCCCATCTGAACCCTCTCACTGTTGTGTCCTTTGGGTTGTCCTGGGAATGCATCCTCGTTTTGAAGATCAGCCTGATTGCTTATCATACATAGTGGTTGTCCAGATACAGGTGCTTTCGGGACCTTTCAGAATTCATGGTGCCGTGGGATTGCTTTTCCAATCCCCTTCAATAGTGCCCAATTGATAACCCTTCTCCTTTTCCTTTTCCTTTTCTTTTCATTGTCCTGGGCAGCCTCTGATGCATGTGAGTCTACGAAAGCTGTTAACGCTTTTGGGTTGTTGTGTGAACCGAAGCAATAAAAACACATGTTGAACAGCTGATGGAGTAATGTGCTATTATATATGGATATCTTAGGCTTTCATCAAGTTTCTCCCACCTTGGTTGAGATGCCCATTGTGCTGCATTTGTGAAGGTCTAATTTGCCTGGGATCAGACAAGTCAGTGCATCTATGCTTGTATTACTATTTATTGATTGAAGTAAAGGAAGTATGATGATATGTTCAAAGTTGTCCTGTGGGTGACTTTGAACCCTTTTGTGGATTAGTTTTTGGATAATTCTCCAAAGGGCATTTTCCAAATGCTGAAGCACATAACATGCCTTTTGTTAAAATTACATGGCCATGTCAATAACTTAGGATATATCTACATATAAATAAGTAAGGTCTCCAGAGGTCAACAGACCAACTTTCAACTCTATGTTGATTGAATTGTGGCAGACTTTTGAGAAAATAAGGGTATGGATTTGTGTGGTGTCTTTACAAAAAAATGTATGAGCTTTTCTCAATAGACCTTTGATACCAAAAGGAAAGATTCCTCATCCCCTTGTAAAGAAAGTTTGATGGTTGTGATTGCTTTCCGCACTATGTGATCCTTCTTCAAACTCATTGCTATCCTACTCATAAACCCTCTGCAAAGTGGTAAAAATATCCTACTCATCAAAATACAGACATGACCATAGATGCATTCATTTCTATTCCAACATATCCTCAAAGGGGCTATTATCTTATATGTGGTGCATCTTTTGAAATACACCTAAATTTTTAATACATTTTCACTTTGAACCATACTCAAATTGTGTTTCATCTCCCCCAAAAAATACCATATTCAATCAAACAAGCAACATGTGTAATGGGTTTGTTTGGTTTGTACTTGGAATTCTAAGCTTGAAGCAACTGCAGCTGCTGGTGAAGGAATGAGGACAAGGTGTCCCAACAAACTCCACAAAGAAGGTTTTTGTTGAGCACCACTTTGAAAATCACATGTTCTAACCACCCCCCATTAACAACTTCTACTAATTCTTATCTGTATATATATATATATATATATATACATACATACATACATACATACATGTGACAAAAATTCTACATTACATGCACAGAAGGTGGTGAATTGGTATCAACTTAGCAAGTTGAAAATAATGATCCAAATTACTCTAATGGTTATGCAAAATTTTGTTGGTAGTCTTTTAAAAAGGAAATGTAAATATATATATATATATATATATATATACATACACACACAAAACATTATAGAAACCACAAAAATCTTGTTTCGAAATGGCAATCTAGAATTTTCATTCGAAAAATTGCAGCATCAATGCTATGGTGCATGCAACATTTTGACCTTGGAATAGATTACATAAAATCTTAGTTAACAGATTAGGATAATGCTTTAAATAATTTCAACAGTTTCAAATCATTTCGATCTTCAGGTGTGATTTGATAATTCTACATATGCACAATTAATTTTTTTTCTGTCATTTTCTTTAAAAAATAATAACAAAAAAAAAAAAAAAAAAAAAAAAAATCCATTGTTGTTACATTGTATTAAATTACACCTAAGATTTTAAATTGAATCATTATCATTTTTTTAATTTTTTTTTTCAGTTCACTTTACTAAAATGATTTTGATGCATATTCTCTTTACATTTAATTAAACATATTTTAAGAGAAATTTCTTTCTTGTCGAAATGAATGTATATCAAATGTATAGATCTTTTGTAGCTCTTTGAAAATAATTATACACTAAAATAAATAATGCAAAAGTTAGAAAATTTTCAAAAGGTAAAATATTAATTAATTATGTTATTTTATTATTTTAAAAAAGGTCTTATTATAATAAGTTAATTAATATATTACTTTATCTTCATGTAAACATGTGTGTAATTGAAATGTCCTTGAGATATTTTTGATTGATGTTGAAAACCGATAAGGAAAATTGTAATCATGCTTCCATGCAATAATAATATTCCTCTATCTTTAAATAACATAAAAAAATCAGAACATGGTTGAATTATTACATAAATTATTTGATTTTTTTAAAAAAAAGGATCAAAAGAACAATGTGCTCTGAACATATCGTCATTTCCAAAATACATCAAAATGCATCATTTGAATTTCCTAAAGTATTGTGCAAGCTTCAAAAGGTGTGACTGTTAATGAATAGAAAGCAGCATCAAGAGAAACATTATTCAAACAAATACATAATGATGGGTGTTGATTGAGACTTTTAATTGCTATTTAGTAACAGAGTGATTAAATGTTTTGATTATCTATGAAAAAATTAATGGCACTTCAATCTCAGTTTTTAAATAATTTTATTTATAAAAAAGAAAAGGAAAAAAATGAATTTTTATAAGTACAATAGAGAAACAAAAAAAATTGATATGGCTATGGTTCAAGCATGAAGAATAGCTTCAAAGAGTATAAGTCTATATAAGAAGCAGTGAGAAGGCATACTATGACTTGGCTTCTATTTACAAGAAATTCATGCAAGATATTTGAAAACTTTTCAAATTAGAAAAATATGTTTTACTAAATTTATTTATTATCTAAAACTACTTTGAACAAACTTCTTAGGCTCTAAATGCTTTCTAATTAATGATTTGAAATATATGTATATATATATATATATATATATATACACACAATATTTTTTATTTTTTAATAATTTAAATAAATTATTAAAATCATAATAAAAATTTGAATATTTAGCATACGTTTTTGTAAGAAGATAATCATATTGCTTGATTAAAAAAACATGAAGTTTAATTTTTTATAATTTTTTTAATTATCTCTAATTTTTAAATTAAAATTTTATTAATTTGAAAAAATTAAAATTTTAAATCAAATTTATACAACAAGTTTGTTCAATTTCTCATGTGATGAGGCATTGAATTCCAAATCATGTTAAATGGATGTAGTCTAGTTCAGTTTAGTAGATTTTCATCTACATAGTATTTTCTATTAGTTGACATTATTAGTGTAATTATCAATATTAATCCTTTTAAAGTGAGAATAAAAAAAAGTTAAAAATTAAAAAAGATCTTGCTATATGTATATGAATGTTTGAATATATATATATATATATATATATATATATATAATCTTAAAACATATTATACATAAAAATTTATTATTTTTTTATTTTTTATTAAATTATTTTAAAATTTTTAAAAAATCATTAATAGTTAAGTAATTTGGTTAAGCCAAATTTTCTACTTGATATTTCACATTTTTTATATTTTATTCATTTTATTTTCATCTTTCTTAAAAACAAAAATAAAAATCACAAAGCTTTCATATAGAAGATTATAAGCATATCTTTATAAATAATTTGTACCTATTCACCAATTTTAAAAATATCTTCATCCACAAAAGTCTTGATTTTGAATGTACCTCATCAATTAAATAGGATTAGATTAAAAATGTGGTTATTTGGTCAAATAAATGTAAAGAGAAAGAAGGAGAGAAGACTAATATTATAGCATTGAGACAAAGAATATCACTCACGATTATTGGATGGAAATAGAATCGTTTTTCTAGCAACACCATTAATTTATGAAAAGAGTTTCAAGAAGGTACAATCGACTTACAGCCTTCCTAGTGTACCGCAAACTGAGGATTCTGACATCTTAAATGCATGAATGAATCTAACTAATAGTTGTGATAGAAGAAAAAATCTTGCTTATTAGTTAAAGTGATTCAAACTAGTCTAACAGTGCAACACAATTACAATCAGCTCAACTCATGGCATTTAGATTATGACTTCCATTTTTAACTCTTCAATGTGAACCTAAGACGACGCTTTGTCATGTTCTTATAATGTGGCAATTTATGCCCATCTTGCTCATTTTTATTCCTATAGTCAAGGTTGCTATGGAATTTTGAGATTTTTAATGGTTTTCACCATGACTTTCTAGGATACAAGGCCAGTTTTTACCTTCATTCAATAGTTTTTTTTAATACAATAGGATAAAATAAGATAAGGCTTAAGCTACAAACTTCAGTGTGCATATAGCAATTTGGAGTGTGCTTGTAACAACTTGGGATGTGCATGTAGCTTGAATCATAATTTCCATAGCAATCTTATCCAAGGAATTGAAAATCTGGATAAAAATTAAAATAACAATCACGATAAAAACTTTTTCATCCGATTTTCGTCTGAAAAAAACTTAAAATAAAAGTCAGCATAAAAATTTGGATAAAAATTTAATGCTGGTTTATCCAACAACTTTATCCAGGAAATTGGAGAAGCGCAAGATACAAATCTCAACTGGGAGCTGTGCAACACATTGTCGCAACACTGGGCGAGACTTGAAACTTCAGCTTGACGGCCTCGAACCACTGCATTTAGTGTATTGCAATAACTATCGCATTCAGCACGATTCAGAAACTTCTGTTCGATGAAATCTAGAAAAATCCCCAAGAGAATAGAAAGTCAAGCATGATGACGAAATCTGGTTAAAAATTTGCACATTATTCAATTACGGATCGTCTAAGCATGCAGTGTGTTCTGTTCATAAAAATCGACGCATTTGCTAATAAAAAATATAATTATAGCAAGGCAAGAAATACTGCGTGTGTTGAAGATGAGGATCGGGTGAATAAACGTAGTAACTGCTTCAGAGATCTCGAATATCTTTCGTCCCCGTACACACACGAGACTCGTCAGGTTTTGAGCTATAAGCTCAGTTGGTCTCCATTGTCGCTTGAGCTCTTGGCACGCTCACATTGGTGAGATACCTCCGCGGTGAGGTTCTCAAGTAGCATCCCAAACAGCGGCACACGATGCAGAAATGGAATCCTCGTCGCACCGCATGCGGTGCAATGGCAATGCTTAAGGAAGTCTGATAAGAACAGAAAACACGATGAGATCCATATTATTAAAATGTTCTAACACAATAGTCTTATCGGTGTAAACAAGATGAGGAGCTGAAAACGTCCAATTTTATTTATCATAAAGTGATCTCCAATGAGATTGCGGCACTGATACTGTGTAAATGTGACGGGTGCGGAGAGAGGCAGTGGCCATACATCAAAATTTCCAGTAGAAAATTCTTCTTCAGAGGGGAGTGACGCGATAACTAGAGTTTGCGGTACAATTTTGAACTGTTATTGAATTGTTTGTTAATGAATAATTTTACGGTTCAATTAATTAGATATGATGTGTCGGACGGCGGAGTGATTGAATGACGAAATCTACAGAGCACAAGTGTGTTGGGAGACATCATCTAGAGGAGTCAGTCCCACGACTGTGCTAAAGGGCAATTAACAAAATTCACGGCAGGTAACAATGTTGGCAACTCAATGCTTCACATGTAAAATAACAAATGTACACTGATTCGCTGCAGAAATGATTGAGAAACAATCATGCTCATCATGGTCTGTCCAACATTCCAGAGCCAGAAAACACGAGTGGAATCACATATTAAACATGCTCATACATGTGCATTCAGGTTTGTGATCTTACGATGATCACAAAAAATGCTACATATCTGGTCCTTCATCACCCTTAGTCTCGTCTCAGCCATAGCCGCGAAGGACAGACGCCTGTTCATCCTCAGCGGTGCCACTCTGGACTAGGTAGGAAAACGATGCCAACAACGTAGCTGCTCCAAGAGCACCAGCAAACACGGCCAGGAAAGACGCAGCTATGGTCACAGCGGGCGCTGCTAGGAGTTACAAAAAGAAACTTAGCGTTGACGCGCAGGTGCAGTTGCTCAAATCGCTGGCGTCGTTACACTACGGGCAGTAACCACAAAAAAGAAAATGAGGCAAGGCTATAATGAAATTGAGCACGAGAAGCATCGAGTTCCGGCAAACGGACTCTCTGGCTACCAACGAAGGCAACGAAGGCACAGTCAGAGTTCGGAATTTTCACCAATTGCCCTGATTCCCCATTCACTTAGCTTTGTCTTGGCCCGGGCAGGTCCCGCTCACAAATTGCGTAGACATGCTGCAGAGTGAATAGACAATTGGAACTGTTTCTCTTGGGTCTTGTGAGTAGAAGACTAAATAATGAGGGAGGAGGAGGCAAGTTCAGTAAGTAGTACATATCACGTTAAAATTCAAGACAAAACTGCTTAGTCTTGATAATCTTACAGAAAGATCGATTTCTTATGCATCGCTTACTTAAATTTTGCTCGTACTTCACCAATCTGGTTGACCAATTAAGGTAGTCACATATACGTCTTGTACACATACCCTGACAGAAATCCCTCCCAGCAATGAAAAGTTTGTCCAGACCCCTCAGAGCAACAGGTTGCCACTTGAGCAGGACTCCCTCGGTGCGTCTTCGTCATTCACCAACAGAGCGCAGCTTATCACCCCAAAAAAGGACTCGAAGCTTTACGAAGACCTCCAACGATTGTGCTCCTTGAACTGTGTTTGGGAATTATTCCGCCAGAATGCCTTGTTTGTATGCACAATTCCTTCACAACATTCTTACCACAGGAAAAGCCCACCTCAACACCTTCATCAGGATTGGCGGGCAATCTAAGTTCCTCCTCCCGAGATCTACAGCAAATGCTGCCATCCCAGATTACAATAAATAGACATCACGACCAGGCACTTACAACTTACCTATTTAGGTATGTGCAAATCAACAGGTCAACCCTATGTGATTCTTAGCTCTAAATCACTGAGAAAATCTCTGATTTGATTAAAGCAGCATCACCTAAAACACCAGTGAAAATACTCATGCTTCAGCCTGTCAAGCTGAGCACTTGAAACTGGATGAAGGAGAACCATTTCATAGAGTGACAGAGTACGTAGCTTTTAGTCATCCGCACGAATATACTCCGCTGGTTTAACAGCGTGTTCATGTCAAAGTATACCTGGAATTAGACACTGGCCAGTCACTCTGAAAGTAAACGATAAGCCGATGGTCTTTACGTTTGGAACAGCTGAAGTTGGATGAGCTGTAATGAACCATACATTAGTATCTTTCTCACAAATTCACAGCAGCCTTTGCTGCTCCTTTGCAAGCACGCAGTTGAGGCATCACATTTCTAAATTACTCAGCTTACTGAAGGAGCAGAGGTCCCAGATGATTCTGCCATAAACTCCAGACGGCCGGATGAGAGTTCGTTCTTGCTGGGATCAATACTGAGCGCTCGCGCCAAGCGATGCAGCCATATGTCGTAATCAACGGGATAAGGGGTGCCACAGAGAGTGTCTACATAATCGGCAAAAGCCTTCAGAACAGCAGAGACCTCCCCTAGCTGCTGTTGAATAATTCGCCGGGCCCATACCCTATCCCTCCACTGCAAGGCTGCCTCCATGCTATCAAACTCTGGAATGATACCACCACAGATGTAGTAAAGAAGGTACACCAAACTCTCTGTGTCAGAAGCAGGATACAGTTTCCCGTCTTGTAAAGCTGCAGTAGACGAAAACTGCGGAGACAAAGCGGGGCTGTCTCGCTCCTCCAAGACAGCATGACCCCAGTCCGACAAAACATAATAATACTCATCGTCACTTCCTGTCACTCGAATGACATGATCCGGGGTGATGTCTCCATGTTGAATACCAATTGAGCTAGCACTCCGCAAGGCTGATAAACAATCATGGCAAATCCGAAGGGCTTCTTCCACCGGAAATACACCTTCTCTTTCAACAACCAAATCCACGGTTTCTCCTATGGGGGCTGTAACCAGAACAGGAGTTCCACACCAAGGATGATCACAACGACTCGCAGGACTCTTCTTCGAGCATGGGCCTGGGTGCATAAGTCTGCCGGATGCAATAATCTGCGTCAAGTACTTGCTGAAAACACCCCGCTGCTTCATTATATTTAGCACCCGTGTCTGCCTCTGGACCTGGCTCACGCAATGGTCATGTCAATACGTACATTGATTTAAGGCCATATCGAGAGAGTAAGACTGCAGGACTATTGGAACGAAGTGATACTGATGAGAAGAATATTGGCGTTCTAAATATCCAGACTCCATGCATACAAGTATTCATCAGACGAGTCCTATCAATGCTTTCAAGTACATAACCAAAATCATAACGTTCGGCATCACAAGAAACTGCCCTCTAAATGAAATAGCACATGGAAAAAGAACCAACCTGGTACCATGTACTCATGTCTTCCCAGGAGGGCTCCAATTGTGACGGATGTGCCCCAATATGGACCGCTAGAGGCTTTCCAACCTCATCAAGAGATATTGCACTGTACACAGAATTCCTCCTGCCTAGTTGCTCTTGAATTTGAAATCCTCGCTGCCAATGGGCATCCTCAAGCCATAATATTGTGCCAGGTTCAAGCTTCATAACATGATCCGGGGCGCGTCGACTATCCTCGATCTCAATATCCTGTAAAAGAGGCGGAATATAATAAAATTGTCAAAAATTCATCCATTATTTAAGGAAGATATAGCAATTCCACACATCACAACTGTTCTTGAACTTATAAGTTTATTAAGACTTGCATAAGAAGTAAAGCCAATCTGGCTCAAACGCTGGTAACCACAAATCTCCTGATTTGTCTGATTGAAAAAAATAAACTCCTAGCAATGCTCACTATAACACGTCAGATTCAAAGATATTCATAGACACAGCTAGCAACAAAAATGAGTAAATTGTAAAATTTACGACAAAATTTCTGACAACAAGATAGAGGCAAACAGGGATAAAAAGTAGAGAGAAGTAGATCCAACATCGAGAATAGTCCGAATTCGCGCAGCAAAAAAATAGCTCGCACTCTGCTTCACAACTGGGTTAGGGGTCTGCACATAGATTGAAGTAAAACACCATATTTTTCATCCTAGAGAACTAAACAAAAAGACTAGACTAGAGTGTATCACATGAAAGGTGTTCGTCTCCAACCTCCTCTTCTTCCTCAATTTCCAGAATTTCAGGCCGGCTGCTACGTCGAAGCGAATTGCTGCGTTGAGAAGATCCTGTTTCACCCAATTCTTGCAACTCCAAATTCTCACGTTCCAACAATCTGTGCTGCACTCTTTCATTATGCAAAGCTGCCATCTCTGCAAGTGGATTCCTGGGCGGACCTCGGCACTGCTCGATCGAGTGAAAAATTGCTAGTAGAAGTTGCATTGCACCCATATCTCCCCAATTTGAATTACCAAACCTATTCCACACTTGTTCCACTGGACACACAGTAACTTCCGCATGTTCCTTAATCCACTTAGCAGCACGCACGTACACATTGTTTGTATTGGTTTCCAACTTTGAAACGTCTCCCTTGAGCCTCACAACTCCACCTTGTCTTGAATTCACAAATAAGACGTAGGCAGTATCAGCATTATACCGAATGGATGGTTTCTTAGATAAGGATCTCGACGTAAGCATCAGAAGACCGTGAAAAAGAGCACGGCCAATAACCTCTAAAGAAGGGGCCGACTGCGAACCCTTCGACATAGCTCCTGTAACATCCTCCCTAACTTCGACAAATACAGCAACATGGTCCCATAAAACATGTCCACCATCTCCACTGGAGCCATTTTTGGCAATAATAGCAGCTCCAGGCAACGTTTCCCCTGACCCCCTTGAACTCGCTTTGTCCAAAACTAAAGCCTGTAGATTGTACACATAAACCTGTCAATAAATAAAGGGCTTGCCAAACAATGTTAGGTTAGGTAAAAGATAGCAAAATTTGCCTCGCAACCTAAAGGCATCAAGCTATTAATGTACTAAAATGTTTGATAAAATCCTTAAAGCCGATGAGTATTTCTAAGTTAAATTTGAATAACATTACCATTGCGAGATAGTTGTATAGAACAAACATACCGACAGGGAATCTGAAGCAGAAGTATGAGGGCCCATAATGTAAAATGGCATAGGCTCAGGTTCTTCGGAAGCATCCCAAAACGTCTCCCATAACCGTTGCGTTGCTGTATGCATAAAGTCTTCCACAGCCAGATACACGGCAGGCTCTGCTAGTAGAGAAGGAAAAAAATCAGAATCTTCAGTAACAGCATTCTGCGACAGCCTTTACATTGATAAAGCTTCTAAAGGAAGAAAGTAATTGTAATACCAAAGGATTTACCGAGAGAGGGCGTGTATGACTGAGAAACCGGCATTCGAAGGAGCTGCTGGAAGGACACACTGACTAATGCATAATCGAGTGTCCGAAGCTGATCAACTTGAAAAGGCGAACGGAACTGCGTCTTTCCGTAAGGGGAAGTATGAAGCCTCTCTTCAATCCATTCTTGGATCTCAAGAACAAATGCATCAACATTCACAAGTTTGCGAGAGAAATCCTTGAGCCCCTCTGCCATGACCAAGACACGATAGAATTCGTCGTCACTTGTTTAATTAGATGTACAGTGGATATTACATACAGCTCCAACTGGGCAACGTTAGAACACTCAGATTCTAAGCGAATTTTAATGTGGTAAGGCCCCATGAATATTTCACAAGGATTACGGAATCGATGTTGGGTACGAAGATTGAAATCACACTCACTACATTTTAATTATGATACATTAAGGTATTAAGGTATAAAACTTCTTCACATCTGGAAAATACTCGTGAGTTCGACCCAATTTTGACTATCCTTAAAGACGAAAGAGTCATTCCGATACTTCTCAACCAGGCCCCTTCGTGCTAGCGGAAATTCCAATGTGGAATACAACTTAGTGGTGCTAAACTTAGCTGCCAAGCGGCTTGAGGAGAAATTTAAACACAAACCTAAACCAGATCGGCGAAAACTCTCTTCCCCCTTTTCTTTCCATCTTTCGGACCTGGACGAAGACCCCTCCCCAGATTTGGCGCGCCGTCCTAAACACAAGCGAAATTAGAAGCTGAATCATTGATGGCTGTTCACTATAAAACCTGGCATTTACTCTATAAGAGCCACTCCGAAATAGTACAGCATAAATCACACTAAGTGTCTAATTTTATCAAAGGCTTTGGCGAGGACTTCCCTCAACTCCAGCTAATGTGCCTATTATTCGCAGTTAATCACAATCTTTAATGATTACAATCCTGAATCGATCAGTATAATGTTTTTTGACCTTTAAGCATTAAAAGAGCCCCAGAGCTGCTAGAACACCGAGAGCATGGAATTATTGTAGAAGTGTAAGTCCAATTTGCCATCTGCTTATATTGATCCCTGATAATTTCTTTATCCCCTTGATACTGGCATTCCTAATAGAACTCCTGATAATATGATACAAAGGGGGGATATCAAATAATTAAAAGAGAAGGTGCAGTGCTCCGTACCGGATCTCATCTTCGGGAACAACAAGACACCTTTTCACGTCAAATGACGAACCTGGAAACCAAATTCTTCGCATTTCCTAAACTATGTGTCAGCAACGTGTAGATATCCCCGTCCCACATGAGCCTCCAAGCGGCTGGCAGTCTCTTAATTCTTTTTACCACAATTCCTGATCAATACCCGCAAGTGCTTCTCAATCAAAACTCTGATTCACCAATTCACCTGATAATTTTCCAAAAGTGGTAATTAGGGCATTTCATATTCAGTGAAAAGGAGGTCGCCATAGATAGAAAATGTGGGAACGAACACAAATCCAACCACGAACTGCAGAAATTAGTCGTGTTCTTCAGTTGGCGTCAAAACGCCAACGCGCACACAACTAAACCCCGATTGAGTCAGAGGTCTCGCTGCATTTCCTACCAAAGGTGTTTTTTACCCTCCCACATATCCCATGTTCTACTTCCCTACCACATCGTATGTCATCGTATCACGGACCTTAAGCTAGCCCTAACACGCAAGTCACTATTCGTTTGCTGGTGAATAAATACATGCCTTGAATTTGATCACTTCGGTCCAACTTTTGAGACTGCCACCAAAGCAAGGAGCACATTGTATGCTAAATGCTAAGGCATTCAAAGAATTACTCAAAATCGTACTTGCGTCACGTCGCAATAATCACAGCCAACCCCTGAAGGTGTCTGAAAACAATACTTCACCTGCTTCCGCAATGTACACCAAAACCTACATTTCCTAATACACACATCGAACTCATTCTGCCCTACACAGTGTACACCTCCCAGCCACGCGTTACTGGATAAGAAACAAACCTCACTGGCACCAGAGTAAAGCATAGCAACACATCCTCCTGCTCCCGCCTAGATTCCCTCCTGTCCGCCTGCAGCCAACTCATATCCACTCATATCCAATGGCGACTTGAAACCTCCAAAAAAAAAAATTAAATCAAAAATCAAAATCAAACCACAAAACTCCATCCTAGAAACTCCACACCAGACAGTCCACCGCACTACCAGGTCTACAGCCAGCCAGTGTCTTCCTCCAAGCTCTGGCCTCACTTGCCGCGCATCGTAAATCACCGAATAATCAACTTCCGGCCCAGTTCGTCCAGCCCGAGAAACAGAGTGATCAATCATCAAACCTTTAGAGTTTGACCGCGGAACAGACGACTTCAATAAATGAGGTAGTGAGTGGCGATTGAATGGAGGGCAGTGAGCTCATGCGGAGGAGAACAGACTAGCACAGCGATGGTCGAGGATGGCTTCCCTCCCTTTCTCCCCGCCTCTGACGGGCCACGACGACGACAACGTCGACGACGGATACGAAGAAGAAGACGAAGCCACGATGAAAGGGGAGCAGAATCCTTCGCCAGAGAAGGGGACGCCCGTGTGGACAGGCCCCCCTTCCTGATCCGCACCCACCCGTGTGAACAGCGTTCCTTGCCATGTTGGTGCTCCGGTCATCCATGCTGGCACCTTACCTTCCTTTTCTTGCTTGGACCGGGATGCGGTCATAAGCCCTTCGTGGTTATGGGCTGTCTCGTGGTTATGGGCTGTCTCGTGGTTATGGGCTGTCTCGTGGTTATGGGCTGTCTCGTGGTTATGGGCTGGCTTAGGACCCACTAGATCTATTCCACGTAGGATTTTCCCATTTCATCAAAGTGGCCCTCGGGCTCTAAGTCCTTTTTGTAACACATTTATGCTCCAGGGAGGGCGCCTATTAGTTGCATTTATGGACTCCATGAAGTTGGTTTTGTGAAGACTGCTAATTTTTATGATATGCACAATGTATGAAAGGGTCCAAATGATTTACTGCATTAAACCATACACCACACATCCTTCCTTTAATACAAAATGAAATTTGATTCTTGTCAATGTATTCTTTGAGCCATCAGTTGAAAGTATTCTTTGATATATATATATATATATATATATATATATATAATCAAATCTATGTTTGTAAAGCTCTAAGAAGCTTGTTTACATGATATTATAAAATTTATCAACTTTTACATACTTCTATGTAGCTTCTTTTATTTAGAACATTACTAGTATCAATTATATTCATGATATTACCTCTCCTTCTAAGAAAAAGTTCTACAGTAAGTTGCGATCACATGTTGATAAAGTCCAAGATGCATTAAATTGTATTTACCACATATTTTAATCTTTACTTCATTTAAAGGTTGTTGATAGGCCTTCTTATCTATTAATAGTATTTCATATTAAAACATGAAGATTACTTTATTATTTAATTATTATTAAGACCTTCATAACTATTTTTATAAAAAATATTTTAAACACAATCATAGATGGTTCATACTTCCAATAAAATCACCAAATATTGAGAGTCGCTTTTAAAGTTATGATATCAAATGCATTATATTTCACCATTTATTTAAAGAATAATATAACATTCTTGAAGGTCTTCATCTCTTTTTCATTGTGTTGAAGGTTGTAACAATGACAATGTTTTATCCAGTAACTCAACAAATGCTAGTTCTTAAGGTGAATATGATGGTTTTTAATAAAAAAATATTAACCTTTTTTATTGTATTTTCAAGATTCTTAAATGACTCCATGTGCATTCATTTATATTATATCCATACTAATGTATAAAATATTCTAATCTAATTTAGTATTCCATTGAATTTAAGACTTCTTTGATTTCACATTCTTTATTATTATCCATTTTTACAAGAAGAAGTTGCATATGTCTTCTTTTTAGTGTATCTAATTTCTTGTTTGGCTTAAGAAGAGACATAGAGAATATATAATAGATATTTATAGACTTTAGTAGATGTAATCAATATACAACTAGATTAATATCTTCACAAATATGAAATGGTCATAGTCTATAATAATCCAACTTGTCACAAAACAAATAATCTTGATATTATAATGAAGTAATCATATTTATTACAAACATGGAATTAAGGTTGCTCCTTATAATATATATATATATATATATATATATTTAATTATTTTCTTATCTTAAGCTTTTTTAAAATAAATAACTTTAATAAATCTATAAGTAAAATTAGAAGAGGGCAATCCACAACTTCTACTATCAAATAAAAATTTTCATAAAGAGAGATAGTTCCCTTTTTTTAAAAGTAAGAATTAATATGAAAAAAAATTAAAAATATCAATATAAAGGTGGATAATCTGTAACTTTTAAAATACAAAAAAAGAAGAAAAATAATCTATTTACTTCTAAAACAAAACATTAATAATGAATTATCATCCTTATCAAATTATTAAAAACATAAATTAAAAATAAAAAATATTAATATATTTTTTATTACTAAAAAAACTAGATAATCACTCTAAAATAATATAATATTAAAATTATAATAACTATTGCTAAAAAAAATTGGAGACTCTTAAAAAAATACTAAGAAAAAAAAAGATATTTACAAGAGTAGAAAAGGCATCACTCTTCTTTCTATATATACTATTTAACTATAACTTATATGATAACTTTCTATAGAACTATCAATATATATTCCATTTGTAAGATAAATTTCTAAATATAGACTACAAAACCAATTTCTACCATAAATGGCCAATATATGTAATATATGGCTATAATATTAACCTATCAATCACCTATAGACTTATATAAAATTAAATCTAAATCTATTACAAGATATTATTAAATTTACCTATTTTACTAAGATCCCAAAATATTATCAAAATTATTTACTAAGATCTCAAGATATTATTAAAGTTATTTATTTTTATTTACTTATATATAATTATTCTTATCTAAGTAATTATAAGTGTTAATTATAATTATGACAATACTTCTATTTGATCTTATATATTTATTTTTTTAAGTTTTTATTTTTAGATATATTTTATATAATTGAAATTTAGATTCCAAGTGTCTTAATATCGAATATGAAGTCCTTGATATTAATCTTAAAAATCAAATAGTTTAAGTTTTAGACATAATTATTGTAAAGGACATGAAAGTAGTTTAACCAAAATTTAAACACAAGGCTTTTTTTGAAGTCTGAGATCTAAGAAGCTAAGAATTATCACAAATATTATGAGCTACTGATTAACAAAGCATTCATGTCTTAGTGATGGTCATTGATAGCAACCATTGGTGACAAAAAAAGAGATATTTATATTTAATCAAGGACATAAATTTCAGAGAACTAACAAATCAATACATTCTTATGTCATTCAAAAAGACTAGAGATTCATTCAAAGATGGCATATTATTAAGCTAAAATGGCTATTTTTAAAGATAAAAAGACTAAAAAGTCTAGAAATAAGACTAAAGACTATTAAAGCATTCACAAGAATGAAGAAGACTTCATTCTTGCTTTAATATAATTTTTCACATATAAGATATCAATTTCTTTGAAGATGGTTGATAGGTCCTTTCAACCACCAATAATGTCCCATTTCAAGGCAAAAAGTCTACGTTGGTACTTGGTTGGTGTTGAGGCCCTTATAACCTCCTTCAAACAAAACATTTTTAAGACCATCAAGAATCATTTTTACCTCCAATATAATCACTAAATATCAAAAATTTCTTCAAAGGTTGTCATATCAAACACACTACATCTCGTCATTTATTCAAAGAAGAATTTGTTATTTTTGAGAATCTTCATTTTTATTATATTATCTTAAAAGTTGTAACAATCACAATGTCTTGTTTGATAAGTCAACAAATGATAAACTTTTAGTTGAATTTGCTAATTGTTGATTCTTTATTTTCTTAGTCAGATAGTTAATCTTTTATAAAATAAAATCTTTTATTTATTATACTTACATTTCTTTTATAGCAAAAATTTAGTATTCTTCATTTTAATTTTGATAGATGTTGTTAATAAAAAGCATCAATTTTCTTTGTAAGATTCTTAATTTTCTCCCATAAGCATTCATTAATATCATATTTGTATAAATAAACAAGATATTTCAACTTATTTTGGTATTGCCTTAAGTCTAAAACTTCTTCTATTTTGAATTCTTGATTATTATCTACTTTTACATAAGAAGGTGGCATTTGTCTTTTTGCTGAAATATTTACTATCTTATATGGCTCAAAAAGAGACATGTGAAATATAGAATGGATCTTCATAGACTTTTGTAGACATAATTCATAAGCAATTAAATTTATTTTTTCACAAATAAAAAATGATCCAAGCCTACGATAATCTAATTTGTCACAAAGACAACTAGTCTTAATATTATGACAAAGTAACCATTTTTTATTGCCAAAATAGAATTAAAATTACTCCTTGTCATATGTATTTGTTTTAATTATTTTTTTCCTCAAGCTTCTTTCAATTGTGCCTTTATTGTTATATGTAGTTCATTTAAATAATTTGCCAAATCTTTTACTATAAGATTATCAACTTTTGAGAAGTCAATAGCATTAAGTCATGGATAATAATTATAATTAGTAAAAAAAGATGTTTGTTGCATATAAGAAAGTATCTTGTTATTATAAGCAAACTTTGCTGATAATAAAAGAACTATCTAATCATCTTGGTGGTAGTTGATGGTATATTTTAAATATTGCTCTAAATCTTAATTTATTTACTATATTTATCTATAAATTTGATGATAAAAAGTCAAAGATAATTTTATGTCTATATTTAAAATCTTAAAAATTATTCTTTAAAATCTTGATAAAAATTAAGTTTCTTTATTCTATATAATATTCATAATCAATCTATGATAGTAATAGATGTTTTCAAAAAATAATTTAGTTTTTTCTTTACATGTGATAGATTTTATATATAGTAAAAAATATATTATCTTTTTAAAATGATTTACTATCAAAAATATAAAATCATAAAAATCTAAGATTAAAAGATCTATTATAAAATCCATAGAAATAGAAGACCATAATTGTTCAAGAATAGGTAATGGTTTTAAAAGTCCCTAAGATCAATGACAAGGAATTTTTGATCTTGAATAAATATTATATGATTGTACGAGGTCTTTGATTGTCTTCCACATTTGAGGCTATTAAAAGTTTCTAAATATTAGCTCCAAAGTCTTATTTTATCCAAAATATTAAAAAATGTGATAAGCTTGAAGAATACATTATTTTATTTTATTTTTTAGAATATATAATTTTTCTTTAAAATAGAATAGATCATTTTTAAACTCAAAATTTAAAGTATCATGAGACTTAAAAGAGTTATTTTTAATATCATAAATAAAAGAATTAGAGGACATACTTAATTGAACTTGCTTAAAAAAGATTGAA